TCCTCTGTTCCGCTGCGTGTTCCTCTGCCTGCTCCTCCTGAGTCCTCTCTTCCTGAGGTCCCTGACCCTGAGTCTGACCGAGCGCGTGCTGTCAGTCCCACTGTCGCTCGTTTCCTTGCCATTACTGTCACTGACCCGTACTTTGAGTCTGCTGCTGCGTCTGCTCTCGTTGCTGAGCTGCTTGACTTTGCTGCTGCCTGCCGTCTCGACTACGCCACTGCTCTCGTTGCTGAGTCTGTGTCTACCGGTCCTCCGTCCGTCGGGGGTGAGTTTGCTCTTGGCACGGACGTCCTTGAGGACAAGCGGGAGGACTTTGAGTGTCTTGCAGCTGCTGTACCTCGTTTCGCTTCCATGCTGCTTGCCCCTGAGGGAGACCCGGATGCTCCAGACATCCCGACCCTGCGCTCTTACGCAGAGGCGATTACGGGTCCTTACTCCTCTCAGTGGCAGGCAGCCATGGATGCTGAGATGGCATCCTGGAAGTCCACAGGCACCTACGTGGACGAGGTTCCCCCAGCTGGGGCGAACATAGTCGATGGCATGTGGATTTTCAGGGTGAAGCGGCCGCCGGGTTCTCCACCTGCCTTCAAGGCGCGTTACGTTGCTCGAGGCTTCAGCCAGCGACAGGGAGTTGACTACTTCCATACCTTCTCCCCCACCCCGAAGATGACTACACTTCGGGTGTTGCTGCACGTCGCTGCTCAGCGTGACTACGAGTTGCACTCCCTGGACTTCAGTACAGCCTTCCTACAGGGCAGCCTGCACGAGGAGATCTGGCTGCGCCGACCACCTGGTTTCACTGGGACGTTTCCTGCAGGTACTCACTGGAGCCTCCGCCGGCCAGTCTACGGTCTCCGCCAGGCGCCTCGCGAGTGGCACGACACACTGAGGACTACACTTGCGGCTCTTGGGTTTGCTCCTTCTACAGCAGACCCGTCGCTGTTTCTACGCACCGACACCACGCTGCCGCCGTTCTACGTCCTAGTGTACGTCGACGACCTCGTCTTTGCCACTGCTGACACTGAGGCACCGACCCTTGTGAAGTCCGAGCTGCAGAAGAGACACACTTGCACTGACCTGGGTGAACTGCGCAGCTATCTTGGCCTACAGATCACCCGGGATAGAGCACGATGCACCATCACACTGACTCAATCACACATGGTGCACCAGGTCCTTCAGTGCTTCGGCTTCCAATACTCCTCGTCACAGCTCACTCCTCTGTCTACCAGCCACTCGCTCTCAGCTCCACCTTCGGACAAGTCCGTAGAGCCGAGTGGTCTGTACCCAGAGCCTGTGGGTTGCCTCATGTACCTGATGACTTGCACACGACCTGACCTCGCGTACCCTCTCAGCCTTTTGGCTCGCTACGTGGCTCCCGGTAGGCACCGAAAGGTGCACTGGGATGCTGCGAAGAGGGTACTGTGTTACCTGTGCAGTACGTTTGGCATGGGGCTTGTGCTTGGAGGACGGGGTCTAGTTGTCCTCACTGGTCACGCAGACGCCTCCTGGGTTGACGACTCAGCTACGCAGCGGTCGTCACAGGGTTACACCTTCAGCCTTGGCTCCGGCTCTGTTTCTTGGCAGTCTACTTGCTCGTCTTCGGTTCTCAGCTCCAGTTGTGAGGCTGAGATCTACGCCGGAGCCATGGCTTCTCAGGAGCTACGCAAGCTCACCTACTTGCTGACCGACTTGGGAGAGCAGCCTCATTCGCCTCCAGTCCTGTACGTAGACAACAAGGCCATGATTGCGTTGTGTCAGGAGCACAGACTGGAGCACAGAACGAAACACATCAATCTGCGATACTTCCTTGCTCGAGAGTTGCACCAGCGTGGCCAGCTTCGTCTTGCGTACGTGGCCACTCGGGCTAACACTGCTGATGTCTTCACCAAGGCACTTCCGCCTAGTGATCATCAGCGCTTTGCTACTGTGTTAGGCCTTGTGCCGACTTTGCCTCACTTGCTCAGTGCTTGACTCTGCTTGTACTGTGATCTCTATATATACCTGCATGCTTGCACTTGCTAGGGTATGATCACTGTATTGTTTGTTCTCTTTATATAACTCTGCATGTGAACTGGCCTTGTGGCCCTTTGCTTGTGCTCGGACTGTGTGGTGACTTTGTGATCCACCCTGAGCTTGCTTTGCTTTTCTTGACTGGTCTTGTGACCACTTGTTCTCCCCCACTTTTGCCTATGGGGGTGTTTCAGAACATTATAGCTTATACATTTATGTAGGCTGTAGTGGGGTAGCCCATAAGGGTTAGTACTTGTACCCAACTGTTTGCTAGTTCATTCATTCTCGTTTGTTATTCTCACAGTGAAGAATGAGATGGTTGCTGGCATACGTGTGAAGGGGGAGCCCACCGAGGTAATTGGGTGCCCGACGTGCATGCAAGCCAAGTTCACCCGTTTCGTATTCTCTAGTTTGGAGGCAACAGCTAAGGCACCACTTGATGAGGTGGTGATGGACGTGGTGGGCCCCTTGAAGCTTGGAGCTGCTGGAGCCAAGTATTTCCTCACCATAGTTGATGTCTACACACGCATGGCCTGGGTGTATGTGCTGTACAAGAAGTGCGACGTGGCTGAAACGGTGAAGACCGATTGGTTGCCGATGGTGGAGCGGCAACAAGACTGGCTAGTGAAAGCAATTCGTACGGATCGAGGGGGAGAGTTACTGAGCAAGGATTTCTCTATGTGGCTGAAGAAGAATGGCAAAAGGCACTCCCTTACCATGCCGTACTCCCCTCTAATGAATGGCATCGCCGAGCGAGCGAACTGGACAATCACGGAGACGGCGCGCGGGTTGCTCATTGAAGCCGGGCTACCTGACTATTTCTGGCCTGACGTAGTGCGGAGTGCGTGTGTGGCCAAGAACAGAGCCTTGACTCATGTGGGAACAGAAAAATGGGTGCCCTATGTGGAGTGGATTGGAAGGAAGCAAACAATGGATATGCTTCGGGTGTTCGGGTGCATGTGCATGACGCTTGTGCCTAAGCATCTTCGGCACAACAAGTTCGGTGCCAAGGCGATATGGGCCGTACATTTGGGCATGGCTCAAAACAGCAAGGGATGGCTTCTTTGGGACCCATTCACCAAGAAATTCTTGGTGAGCAGAGACTTCAAGTTCATGGAGAATCTTATGTACAAGGATTGGAAGGCGGAGAATGAGGCGAAGATAGGCATGCGGTTTGGGGAGGTGAAGAGTTCCGGTTTGGAGCATGTGGAGCTGCCTTTGGAGCTGAGCAGTCTCAGCACCACCACAAGGCAATCTTCCCTTGTGAATAGGGGAGAGGAGGCCAATGATGGAGAGGAAGAAGAGGAGGAGGTGCAGCAAGTGAGCGAGCGTGCACTGACAGTTTCTTCTCGCACTACGAGAGCTCCACGGATCCGAGTCACCCCGCAACAATGCCATGAGAGCCTTTATGTCCTTGCAGCTGAGGAGGAAGGAAGGGGCAAAAGGAGAATTCAAGCCCCTAATAGGCTGACCTATGATGCGTTGGGAAAGCCAGCCAAGTCAGCCTTGGCCGGAGCGGCAATGATGGTTGGAGATGACGAGGAAAGTGAGTACGAGGAGTTTGCTTTCGCGTTCTTCTCTCCGGTGGAGATGCCGGGGGAACCAGCAACTCTCAAGGAGGCCTTGGAGAGTAGTGATGCTGAGGAGTGGAAGAAGGCAATGGAGAGTGAGAGGAAGAGCATTGAGGAGAACAGCACGTGGGAATTGGTGGAGCTACTGGAGGGGCGTAAGGCGATTACGTCCAAGTGGCTCTTCAAGATCAAGTCCGACGCGGACGGCAAAATCGAGCGCTACAAGTCTAGGCTTGTCGCCAAGGGGTACAAGCAGAAGGAGAAGGTGGACTACAAGGAGTTGTTTGCTCCTGTGGTGAAGCCGACGACGCTGCGAACCCTACTTGAAACAAATGGATGTGACAACGGCATTCCTCAACGGCGTCCTTGAGGACGAGATTTTCATGGCGCAGCCAGAGGGGTTTGATGATGGTAGTGGCAGAGTGTGGAAGCTGAAGAAGGCGGTCCATGGGCTCAAGCAAGCCCCTGGGCAGTGGTACTTGAAGCTGCGTGAAGTCTTGGAGGAGATCGGGTTCATTCCCTCATCCGCCGATCTTTCTTTGTTCATGCTTGGCGAGGGGGAGCAGAGGAGTTTCATGGTGGTTTATGTGGATGACATCCTCATTTTCTCACCCTCCTGTGACCATGTGAAGGAGGTGATGCTGAAGCTTTAAGACAAGTTCAAGTGCAAGGCCCTTGGTGACGTGAGCTTCTACCTCGGGCTCCACATCGAACGAGATGTGGAGAAACGGTGTATGCGTGTGCACCAACAGAAGTACCTGGAGGCCTTGGCTGCCAACTTTGGGTACATTGAAGGCCATGTGGCTACTCCATTCCCTTCAGGGTTCAAGTGTGTGAAGGGATCAGAGGAGGAGAGCGTTGGAGAAGGGGAGAGGCACAGTTTTCACTCGTTGGTGGGCAGCCTCATGTACGCGGCGGTAAACACCCGACCGGATGTCGCCTTTTCTACCGGGAAGCTGGCTAGCTTTGTTCAATGCCCTAATGATGAGCAGGTAGCAGTTGGAATGAGGGTGGCCAAGTATCTTGGCCAAACAGCGACGGTTGGGCTGCAATACTCGGCGGCAGCACAAAGGCGCCAAAAGGGCGCGGATGGTGTTGAACCTGAGCGTTTGTTCCTCACAGCCTTCTCCGATGCCTCTTATGCATCAGAACAAGAGGACATGACAAGTGTGGGATGGTTCATTTGCTATGTTGCACGCTGTGCATGCGCATCGCTAAACGCAAGCGCATGGGTTGACTTTTGAGATATCTCGAACTCGTTTGCACAAGCCACATTTCTAAGTGCAAATAACGGGCGGGTTTATTCTTGTATTACCGCATAACGTGCACATTGCTTAGTGTGAGTGCATGCACGGGCATCATTAGTAAGTGCGAACAAATGGGCTGGTCGCATCATCATGTTACTCACCTTGTTTTAACATGCACAATGCACCACTCTTTTTGTTTGTTTTTTTCCTCCCTTTCTTCCCTTTAAACCCCAACAGCTCTCTTCTATTTGTTCTCTCTTCCGCTTCCCCTCAACCCCCTCCCCCTCAAATCCCTCTCCTTCCCCCTCGCTCACCCCCTCACCACTGTCAACTCTCCCAACCCTCTCCTTCCTTCCTCCCTCAGGCCAACACTGCAGCACTCTGCCCCGCCTATGAGGTGTGACAGGGTGGGGCGAGGGCCAACACGCTCCTATGCATGCCTCCGCCTTCTCCCCTCCCCGCTGTCCCTGGAAAATGCCCTCAAAAATACTCTCCCTCCCGCTTTTATTCCCACCCATTTCCCCCTTCACCCCTCTCTCCCACCCTCTCTCAGGTTGTCACAGCAGCACCACACTCCTACGCCTGCCTGCGCCTTTTGTGTCGACTCAAAAGTCACCTCTCCCCCTCTCCACCCCCCCTCCTTCTCCCCCCCCTTCCCTCTCCCCCCTTCCCTCTCTCCCCTCCCCTCTCTCCCCCCTTCCTCTCCCCCTCCCCTTCCACCAGACTGACACTGCAGCACTACACTCCTACGCATGCCTGCGCCTCCTCCCCTCCTCCCTCTCTCCCTCCTCCTCCTCCTCCTCCTCCTCTTCCTCCTCCTCCTCCTCCCCCTCCTCCTCCTCCTCCTCCTCCTCCTCCTCCTCCTCCTCCTCCTCCTCCTCCTCCTCCATCCTTCGCTCCCTCTCCCCCTTCCGCTCCCCCTTCACCTCCTCCTCCCCCTCCTCTCACCGCCCCTCCTCCCCCTCCCCCCATCGCACCTCCTCCTTCTTCCTCAGCCCCTCACTCGCTCCCGCACTCACTCCCACCCTCCAGGGCTCCCAGGTTTTTTGTGCTGTTTTTGTCCTTGTTCTTTCAGCTGTTTTTAAACTGGTTTGGTTTTTGTGCATTAAGATATGAAAAAAAATAAAAGAAGAATGTAGGGAAGGGCATATATATGCATGATGCATACATGTATATACGTACGTATACATACATATGCATATATGTTTAACTGTTGCCACATTTTCCCACCTAGCACACAGGTGCCTTTTCAACCCTAATTCAGGCCTGCCGTTACCTCTGTTGTGGCCTCGCGTGTTTTGATTCCCCCAACCCTCATCAGCTGCTGAGGGAAATGGAAGCACTGGAGACATCACTTCAACGGCACCACATCAACCCGCAGGCCGCCCACATCCAAATCTGCCACTACCTCTGACCCGCTTCTCCTGTCCTTCTCCGCTTCCATGCCCTGCAAAATCACCACTCTCGCCAAGGTTAGTTCTTACCCTATTAAAGGCTCATCTCCCCCTCTCTTGTTTCCCATCCCCCTCAACTGCCACCTCTGCACTGACCCTCTGCTCCACTCCTTCTCCACCTCCCCTCCCTACAAAGTTACCACCCTTGCGAAGGTGGGTTGTTACCTCATCGAAGGTGGGTTGTTAACCTATCAAAGGTTGCTCTCTCCCTCCGCCTTCCCATCTCCCTCACTCCCTACCTCTGCACCGACCCTCTGCTCCGCTCCTTCTCTGCCTCCCTGCCCTGCAAAGTCACCACCCTCGCCAAGGTGGGTTCCCATCCCCATCCCTCTCTTCTTGCTGCTCCGACCCTCCTTCACCCCGCTCCTTCTCTGCCTGCCTCCCTGCAAAGTCACCACTCTTGCCGAGAATGGTTTCTGATGCCTGTAACTGCTTCCCCTCGCACTGCAAAGTCACCTCTGTGTTTTTCCAACCAATCAAAGGTTGGTCTCCACTCTGCTTTCCCACCCCCCTCACTCGCCACCTCTGCACCGACCCTCTTCTCCTCCCATTCTCAACCTCCCCGCCCTGCAAAGTCAACACCCTCGCCAATGTGGGTACCCTCGCCTCGCCCACATTCAGGCAGAGAGGCGGCTGGGTTATGGATTGAACGAGGCGATGAATTGATGATCCCAACTGCTCCCTCTTTCTCCCATGCACCAACTGCACCTCCTCTCCCTCCCATGCACCAACTGCACCTCCTCTCCCTCCCATGCACCAACTGCACCTCCCCTCCTCCCATGCACCAATTACAACCCCTCTCCCTCCCCCAGGACTCACTTGCAGTGCTGAACCAGACGAGACACGAGGCGGACAGGCAGCAGCAGGGAGGTGATCAGCTGGCAACTCAAAAGGATGCTCCCCCTCTCCCCTTCCCTCTCTCGCACCACTCTGCAACGCTATTTCAGTCTCCCCCAGGACTCCATTGCAGCGTTGAACCAGATGAGACACGAGACAGACAGGCAACAGCAGGGGCGGGAGATGCTGACTCTCAGTAGTGTGCTCTCTCTCTTCCTCTCCCTCTCGCTTTTGCACCACAAACCAACCAACTACTGCCGCACCCCCCAGGACTCGCTTTGAACCAGATGAGACACGAAGCGGACAGGCAGCAGCAGCGGAGTGAGATGCTGAGGGTGCAGGGGGGAGCAAGGAAGAGAAGAGATTCGCTCACTGGGAGGGCGGGAAGAAGAGAGAAAGGTATGGGTGGGCTCCCTTGCAGTGCTGAACTAGATGACTTTTGAGGCGCCTCAAAAGGAGAGAAAGGTATGGGTGGGCTCCCTTGCAGTGAGTGGATTCTTCTTTTCCTGCTTGAACCTTGCATATGCATTTGTTCTGAAAATGAACGTGCTGGTGGTGAGGATGATGGTGGTGGGGATGGTGGTGGTGGGGATGATGGTGGTGGGGATGGTGGTGGTGGGGATGGTGGTGGTGGGGATGGTGGTGGTGGGGGTGGTGGTGGTGGGGATGATGGTGGTGGGGATGGTGGTGGTGAGAGGATAGAGAAATGCAGAGTGAGTCGATAGAGTGAATGTACAGTGAGTGGGGAGTGTAGAAGTATCGGTGTTGTACCGGTATCATCTCTAAATCCGCATACAACTTTGCAACTGTAGAGTGAGAGATTTCTTTGTTTCCTACTGCTAGTATATGCTATTGTTTCTGCTTGCCACCTGCTACAGGGTGTTATTGAGAATCTCAACAGCACCCTGCTTTTCCTACTGTTTTATGCGTGCGCGTTTCAGGCACTTTGGGAGTGTATTCCCATCTCACTAAGGAGCTGTACTGAACTGTACTGTGCTATGCATTTGGTCCTCTGCTGCATTTGTCAATAGAAATGGAGTTTGCTGATATTGTAATCGAGGTTCTTACTAGAACCATTTGCTCTATTCCCGTGTTGCCGTGCTGCTTGTGACCATTCATTAGCAGACATAACTATAGTCACTGACAAGACTGTGTTACAACTTACAACTCCAAAGCATGCTGCTGACCAAACATGCCCACCAATCTGAGGCATTGACTGACAGCCACTGCTGCTCTAACTAAACTGCCATCCAGTTTCTTTGTCAGATGCTCAATGTAGGTAGTCCATACTTACGTGTTAACGGGAACAGTGTGTTGGTCCCACCCTCGCTTGGGCGAAGCAGATGTTGTGGTCGCGTGTGCGGGAGGTGCGGCCGACCATCTGCAGAGTTCGACGCGTGCAAGTCGACGGCAGCTGTCGACCGAGCTGGTCGACGGAGGGGACCGGCGACCAGGGCACCGGATGGTCAACCCGGTCGACCAAGTTACCTCGGCGAGGTTCTGCGGAGGCACGCGAACGTCGTCGAGGCCGCGATGGTGAAGGCGACTCCGGGCTGGTATCCGGAAGTCGATGTGGCTCGTCAAGCGCAGACAACAGTCAACGGACATGTGATAATGCACGTCGGGCCAATCGTTTGCGCGCACCTACGAGTGTACGCATTGCAGTCTTCTACGGGTGCAACGCTGGACAGCCGCCTTGCTGCAGCGTTGGCACGCCGTCGACCTGCTCTGTTGGCAGGACGCGTTCTTGCAGCGCTGGCGCGGCTCCTCTACGCAACGCTGGCAAGCAGTCAACCATGCTACACTGGCGGTCGACCAGCTGCCCTGCTAGGTTGCTAGGTTCTGATGTAGTCATTCTTGCCATTGTTGTATCAATCATTCTGCAATGTAACTTTCCCTAGTGAACGCACAAGTGCTAGAGAACGCTAAGGAAGCTACGATCACTCCTAGAGCTTGTGCCAACCCCCCCGTTGTCTAGCTCCCGACCGTTGTAGAGTTAATCTCCGCATGGTGCGGTGAGCATGGAACGAACATGCAACCTTCATATAAGAGCCGACTTTTGCACCTACTAAGTCGTTCGTAGGCCGGCAGCCGTCCTGGTCGCCATGGTCGACCCCGTAGTTGAGACGGGCGTAGCGGGCACCCTGGAGACACGACTAGCTGATGCGAGGGGGCGCCACGAGGCTGGCGAGTACAGGTCGACCCTCCCCTTGGAGGTAGTCGAGCTGGGCATCCGCGCAAAGTGGGCGACGGATCACACTTCCCGACCTGTTTCTCCTCGACCGGTGCGGAACGAAGGCGGCGTCGATGAGGAGGTTGACGGCGGTGTACAAGTCAGTGGCAGCGCGGGCACGAAGAAGAGATGTGTGATCAAGGCCGACGGTGGCGTCGACGGGAGCCAGGCGCGAGTGCATCGTCGGCGGCTGCAGGCAGCTCGCGTGTCGACGTCGACGGTCGACGTCGCTCTCCCCAACGAAGCAGTCGGCGGCCTACGTTGACGACGCAAGTGACGGCGGGCGGGATCGCGTCGGCGTATGGGTACTAATTCTCGCCAGAAAAAATCACCGTCACACCACTGCAAGCTCGACGGGAGAGCGCATGAGTGGTTACCGAGGAGAGGGCATGAGGTGGTTACCAGGGAGAGGGCATGAGTGGTTACTGGGGAGAGGGCATGAGTGGTTACCGGGGAGAGGGCATGAGTGGTTACTGGGGAGAGGGTAGATGCGAGCAGCAGGTTGTGGCACAGCAGCAATGCTGCGCCTTGAAAGGCGTCTGCCAGTCGATTGGCGAGTGACTGGTGGATGGAGGGGGAGGGGAGGGGAGAGGTGGGGAAGACACGGAGCAGGAGCAGGGAGAGAGCAGGTGTAAGTGAGAGAAAAGATGAAGAGGCAGCAGTGCCCCGCCTTGAAAGGCATCTGGCAGGCGATGTGCGAGTGACTGGTAGGAGGGGGAGAGAGGGGGAGAGGGGGGGAAGTGAGGGGGGTAGAGGGGGAGAAAGGGGAGGGGGAGTTGAGAAGCCGAGCAAAAGAAGAAAGGGAGGGATGTAAGCGAGAGGTCAGAAGGGGTGGCAGCACCCTACCCTGAAAGGCGTGTGGCAGGGGATGGGTGAGCAACTGGCGGGAGGGAGAGAGATGTGAGGGGGAAGAGAGAAGCCGAGCAGAAGAAGAAAGTGTAAGGGAAGGGATGGAGGGGGATAAGGGAGAGGAAAGACGTAGGGCCAGCAGCGCTTCGCCTTGAAGAAGAAGCAAAGCAGGAGCAGGGAGCAAGGGGGAAAAGAGAGATGAAAAACGCACTGCCTGTGAAGGCCTGGCTTGAAATGTGTCTTGCAGGGATGGGCGAGTGAGGGGTGGGATGGAGAGAGGGGGTGGAGGCGAAAAGAGATGAGGACTGGTGGACGGAGGGAGGGGGTTTTAAGAGAGGAAAGAAGAGATGAGAGAAGGCTCACTAGAGAGGGGAGAGGAAGGGACGGGAGAGCGAGGGAGGGGAGAGTGACGGAGAGAAAGAGAAGGCGGGCAGGGCGGGGCGGACAGGAGAAGTGGGGAGAGGAGGATGGGGTGTATGGAGAAGAGGGAGTAGGCTTACCAGAGCAGGGAGCGTGAGGGAGCGGGGGAGGTTGAGTTGGCGGCAGGAGAGGGAGTCGAGGAGAGACGGCAGGCGGACCTGAGGAGTGAGGGGTGAGGGGTGAGGGGTGAGCAGTGGTTAGAACTTGGAAGAGGTGGGGGAGGGGGTGAGGCAGAGAGAGAACAGGAACAAGGGAGAAGCAGGCTCACCAGAGCAGGCAGCGTGAGGGAGCGTGGCAGATTCAGCTGGCGGCACGGCAGGAGAGGCGGTTGGATAGGGAGTCGAGGAGAGGAGGCAGGTGGACTCGAGGAGGAGTGGGGCAGTTGGGTTGGAGTGATGAGAGGGGGTGGTTCGGGGAGCAAGGGAGAAGCAGACTCACTAGAGCAGGAAGAGTGAGGGAGCGTGGAAGATTCAGTTGGCGACAGGAAAGGCGGTTGGATAGGGAGTCGAGGAGAGGAGGCAGGCGGACTCGAGGAGGTGTGGGGGCTGAGAGGGCGAAGGGAAATGCGAGGGCAGATGGCTCTGGGGACCCGCCTGGAGGGATGAGTGGGGATGTGGAAGCGCAATGACAGGGAAAAGGGACGCAGTGAGGGGGAAAGGGGGGAGGAGTGAGGCAGGAAGAGGGAAGCACATGTTGAGTCGACTAAAAAATGGACTCCAGTAGGCGTGATGGCAGAGAGGGCGAAAGGGAACGCGCGAGCAGCAGAGGGCTCTGGGGACCCGCCTGGAGGGGGGTGAAGAGGGAAGGGAGGTGGAGTGCGGGCAAGAAGCAGGAAACACTCAGTGAGTCAACTAAAATAATGGATTAGAGGCGCAGGGGAGGAGAAGGCGAAGGGGAATGCTAGCGCGAAGGGCTCTGGAGACCCGCGCCCATGGGTTCTTAGGGGGGGCATGAGCATGAGGGCGGGCTAGGGCCCGCCCGGGTCAGGCCCGCCCGGAAATGGCCCGGGCCGGGCATCAGAATTTCGACCCGCCGGGCCGCAGCCGCCCGCTTTTGGCCCGCCCATGTACGGGCCGGGCCGGGCCGGGCCACCTCGAAGCGCAGCCTGTGTCGGGCCATTTCGGCCCGGTTTTTACCCCCGTGACAATTTGTCGTGGGGGTCAAATTTGAGCTGCACGTCATTTGTGCAGCTCGTTTTCTTTCTTAGCTAAAGCGTAACCCCACCCAGCCCTTGGCGCATAGCCTTTTGCCTAGCATAAGCTAACATTAGGAGGTTTAGCTAGTCTCTTAAAGTAGGTAGAAACACCCGCGCCCATGGGTTCTTAGGGCTTCGTGACATTGGTGCGACAGTTACAACAGAAACAGCCCCAAAATACAACCTTTTAGAAATTATAACAGCACCAGGGCAAGGGCCGGCCCAGCCCGGGTCGGGCCATGCAGAGCCCGGGTCGGGCCGGGCACGGCCCGCCCGCCTTAAGGGCGGGCTCGGGCCAAGATTTCCTTTCTACGGCCCAGGTCCGGCCGGGCCAGCCCGCTTTTTTGCAGCCCGGGGTGGGCCCGACCCGGGTCGGGCCCGGCCCGCCCGGTGCTCAACCCTATGAGGGGGGAGGGGCAGGCACACTCGGGAAGTGAGGGGTGCGTGGCGGAGGGCTCTGGCTGGAGACCCACCAGGAAGGGCATGAAAGAAAAGGGGGGAGAAGTGAGGGCAGGAAGTCTGAAGCATTGGTTGAGTCGACTCAGAAATGGACTCGGGGAGGTGAGGGGGAGGAGAGGGTGAAGGGCAATGCGAGGACGGAGGGTTCTGGGGACCTGCCTGTAGGGACGAGGAGGAGGGAGAGAAAGGGAATGTATGATCCACACAAGCCCGAGAGGGCACACACATACCTGTGACGTCTCAAAACCGAGTGGGGGCGATGTGAGAAAGTCACGCAGCTGTGAGAAAGCCTGTGAGGAAGGCTAACAGGCAGGCACAAGCTACATCAGAATCCAGAAAGGGTGGGGGAGGGAGGGACATGCACCGTTCTACACAAGTCAGAAGAGAGATCTTTGGAGGAGCCTCCAAAAGAGACTACAGACACGCACCTGTGAGGAAGTCCGGGAGGAATGCTTGCAGGCAGGCACGGGCTAAGTCTGCTGAAGGGGGAACGGCCGACGGGGAATCGTGTGAAGGAGTGCCGGACTCAAGATTTGATGAAGGATTTGAAGAGGGCCCAGTTGTTGCTTCTGAGGGGAGAGGAGGAGGAGGAGGTTGGGGTTGTTGCTGCAACAGGCGGTCAATGCTGCCGAAGAAGAGACAAAAGAGCGCATGCGCCTCCACCAGATACTGCCGAAGAGCCTCGTCGCGCACTGTAGCGTCGGGCGGCACGCCGCCGCTCACCCCCCGACACTCCACCACCTGAGATTCAATTAGGGCATATCGTGTCGGGGAGGGGAGAGGGGGGGGCGGGCTGGGGGGAATGTGCGAGAGGCATGACGCCGTTCGCCCCTTGACTCTCCACTACCCTCCACCACTACCCGAGGGCATGGGCGGAGGGCGGGTGGGAAGGCATGGGGAATCGAGTCAATGGCGGGTGGGGGAATGGAAGAACGGAAAGCATGGAGAATATGGAGGAAAAAAAGGGGGAGTGGGGGATAAAATAAGAAGATGGGAGCATGGAACCGCATGGTTCCATGACTTGAAAGAGCGCTAATGACTGTGATTAGGAGCAAGCCCCGTTCACTCACGAGCACCATGAAGATACCCGGCCGGCTCACACTCCAGCAGCACGTGGTGATGGGGGGAGAAGATTCTGCAAGGGAGAGGAGGGGATGGGGAAAAGGGGAGACGGAGAGGAGGTGGGTTGGGTTCCGTCGTGTAAGCTGCACGCTTCGCCAGCTGTAACTCAGGGAGCCCTGTGCGAGCCAGTAACTTTTGAAGGTTACGCCGACTCCAGCTTACCAAGCAACAAGAACTCTATCGATGTGAGGTCCGCTCCGCGTGGAGACCACTTTTGAGGCGCCTCAAAAGATTTTGGAAGGGGGAAGGAGGGGGCCAAGGGGGAGAGGAGGTGGGTTGGGTAGGGGCCAGCAGGCATTGGGGGGCGATGGAAGTGCGCTCGAATCACCTCACAGGGGCGATGGGGGGAGAAGATTCTGCAAGGGGGGAAGGGGGGAGACAACATGTAGAGCCTTGCCAGACCCCCAGCAGCGCCACTTGCTCTGACAGCGGAGTGCCATGTAACAAAGAATAGGCCTATACGAGTGACGATAACGAGTGTAACTCTAGCGAGTGTGACTATAGCGAGTAACCTAGTGAGGGCGAGGAGGCCCTCCCAAAGCCCCAGCAGCGCCACTTGCTCCAACGACCCAAATGCCCATAGTGAGTGCAATTACAGGTAGGGACTGTAGCGAGCGAACGCGTCACCTGGTGAATGCGAGGAGGCCCTCCCAGAGCCCCAGCAGCGCCACTTGCTCGGACGGCGGAGTGGCGGGCGGAAAGAAGAACAGAAGCTTCTCCGCCTCTTCCCCTCCCGCTTCCCCCTCCGCGAGTCGAACAAACACACGCGCACCGCGCTTCCCGCCGCTCCGCCTCCCCCGCCGCCTCTCCCGCCGCCTCCCCCCCCGCCGCTCATCCCGGCTCCCCCTGCGCCCGCCCCGCCTTTACCCATGCCGCGGGGAGACGCGCGGACAGGCGGGAGTGCGGGGAAATCGCGACCACAAGGCGACTTCGACGCCCAGTGAACAGACACGCGCGGAACGGCTGCGGAAGTGCGATTATGCGAAAATGCGAATATGCGGAGACGCGGAGACGCGGATATGCGGGGAATGAACGAAGTGCGTCGAAAGCCAAGTGGCGGCTGAGCTATTATAACACGGAATGCCTTAGTCTGCGAAATTCTTGTACATTATGAATCCTCCAGAAAACAAAAATCGCCAAATTGCCCCGCGTTACTGCAAGACTCGATAGTTGCAAATTGTCCTGGTATTATGTATGCCCAATGTCCTCAATATTACTGAGTTCATTGCAGATCTGTTAAAACAATCTCTTTGAGAATTATCCAGATTCTTTCAATTCTGGCGAATCTCATTTTCGCGAAGCACAATCGCGTACAACGTTGACTGAGCAGCTCCATTCTGAGCCAGGAAAGCATTTTCCGTCACCCTGGAAGGCAAAGCGCTGACGGAGCGCGCTCGCGAGAAAGTGATAATACTAAAGGCGAGGCTCGAGCTTACGCCTTTCCTAGCAAGGGTTCCGAGCGAAAAGCACTAGAATGCTGTAGAGCAAACCACGCACCAGCCGCGAAGTCGACGCAACTACGCATTTCACCTGCCATTCCGCGCGTGTCTGTTGGTTCGGCGCAGAAATCGCCGTATCATCGCGGCCTCTCGTCAATTCCGCCCCTCCGCGCGTCCCCCCGCAGGCGTAGGCGGAGAGGGCGCTGGGGGGGCCGGGATGCGCGGCGCTGCGGGCTCCTGCGTGTTCGACTCGCGGGGGGGGAAGCGGGAGGGGGAAGAGGCGCTGCTGGGGCTCTGGAAGGGCCTCCTCGCCTTTACCAGGCACGACCGGTATAGTCACACTGTCTACAAGCACATTCTTTTCGCATTTCACTTCGTTACCATAAAAATCCGCGCTGTTGCGCATGTGAGAGCGGCACGTTGTTTTACCAAGTGACTCCTTAAAGCCACAACAGCATCAACAGATTGCCAATTTGTCAATTTGTCAATTTGCCCCATGATGACCAATTTGCCCTCCTGCTCCCTCCCGGCCTGCTACCAGCCTCCCTACTATCACTCCCCCCACCATTTCCCCTGTCGCCCCTTCAACTCAACTCCCCACACTCCCAGCACTCCACACCCTCCCCTCCCCCATCAGGCCAACCATCCTCAACCACATTCAACTCCTCTTTCTCCAATTCCTTCCCTCCCCACCTCCCACTTCCCCTCCCAACACCCCACCTGTTCCCCCAGTCAGACGTTAGAATACCCCCCCAGCCTCTGCCTCCCCCTATTGTCCCCCTCCTTCACCTCGTCCCACACACCTCCACACCCCACTTCACCCCACTTCCAACCTTTTTCTCTTGATAAAATCCGTGTGAAGTGGTGAGATGAATTTTCAGGCGCCTCTCGAAAGTCACTTTCCTCCCACAGTAAGGAGAATATTCTCCCTTTGTGATCCCTGTGAGCTCATGCACGCACACTCCCAGCGCCACCCAACATGCTGCCTACTCCTTCTAACCCCTCCCCACCTTGTGCTGCTGCTGCTGCTGCTGCTGCTGCTGCTGCTGCTGCTGCTGCTGCTGCTGCTGCTGACCCATGAGTTTGCAGTCGAACCAAAAGTTACACTCCACCCCATTCCCTTTTGCTCCCTCCTTCCAGGATCTCCCCTCCTTATCAGCGCACAGCATGTGAAGGGAGGCGAGGTCACTTCCCCCAACGCATGCTGATTCCGCCACTACTGCTGCTGCTGCTTGCCTGTTTCGCCTGCATTGGCACCATCCCTCATGGGGTTTGGGCCTTGGAGCACAGCAGAAGCATGAGAGGTACGAGATACGGCTATGTGTGATCCCATGTCCAGAATCTGAAGGCTTGACACCGTCAATCCCACATGGGGTCTCCACCTCCACCTCCTCCTGCTGCTGCCGCCCCCGCCGCCGCCGCCGCCGCCGCCGCCGCCACCGCCGCCGCTGCTGCTGCTGCTGCTGCTCTTGCTGGCCTGCTTCGCCTGCATCGGCACCATCCCACACGGGGTCTCGCCTGAGACATCAACAGCACACGCCTGAGAGATCAACAGCACACGCCCGAGAGATCAACAGCACACGCCTGAGAGATCATCAGCACACGCCTGAGAGATCAACAGCACACGCCTGAGAGATCAACAGCACACGCCAGAGAGATCGTCACCACACGCCTGAGAGATCCTATGATGGATTATACGCTTTGGAGCTTAAGCGTTTAGCGTTTGTACGCTTGCGTGTACACGCTAAACGCGAAACGCTAGCGAAAACGCTATACGCAGCCCAGATTATTTTCGGGGCTGCCCGCCTACCCGAAAATTTTCGAATAGCTCAAAAGCAGCGGAATTGCACGACGAGCAATTCTGTGAACTCAGATTGCACGTCAAGTGTCTGTCATGGCTGGAAATTGGATTCGTGACCTGGAGTCGCGTTTATCACCTTCACATTTTGCACGTTCAGAATTGCATGGTCAAGTATGTCGAGTCGCGCAAGCACGTTGCCACAATTCAATCGCTCCGCTTCACCGCATTCAAACACATCATCATGCTATTAAGCCACTCGTCAAAATGTCAATCTCATTCGGTTTTCACCTCCCGCTAGCTAGTTAGCATAGCACGCTCCTACGACTATGTCCTCCTCTCCATCTCCCACGTCGCCTTCCGTCCAGACTGTGGAGAGTGCGAGGGATCCTCCGGCTGCGTCACGGGAATACCTTCCCGATGTAGAACACCTAGTGTTTAAGCACTTCAGGCTCATCAAGCGGGAGGAGGGCAAGGCACAGCAGTACGAGTGCAAATACTGCCCCCTTGTCTTCTCTGGTGCCGCCATCCGTTGCGCTCAACACCTGACGTCATGGAAGACCATGAAGCGCCCGGAGGTGACACTTTGCAAGAATGCCCCGGCTGATGTTCGCCTCGCGATGAAGTCCAAGTACGAGAAGCAGGCCGCAGATGCAGAGGAGAGGCGGAGATCGACTGAGGCTGCGATTGCCTCGGTGACACCAGGTGGGAAGCGGTCCCGCATAACCGACTATCTCGCGGGCGACGCTGCATCGGCAAGACGCGAAGCACATCAGTCGCTTGCGCTGATGTTTGCGGGATGTCACATCCCGGAGCAGATCGTCGACCATCCTCTCTTCGTCAACGCAATCAGAGACGTCGCCCGCGCCGGCGACAACTATGTTCCACCAGGATGGAAGTACATCGGCGGTAACGGTCTTCAAGCATGCCGCCGTGGCATTGAAAGCGGGTTGGTGGGCATCAAAGCAAGCTGGAAAAAGGTTGGAGTAACTGTCGCGTCCGACATGTTGACGGACAGAAACGGGAGGCCGCAGGCAAATGTCTTCCTCGTTAACGACGCGGGCGCCGTGTTGCATGTGTGCGTGGACTGCAACATGGAGAAGAAGACAGGGGGATACATTGCGGGGTTACTAAAGCCCGTGGTGGAGGAGGTGGGGGCGGAGAACATCGTCGCTTTTTGTATGGACGGCGGCTCCAACTACGCGGTTGCGTGCCAGACCTTGGTTGCAGAATGGCCCCACATTCAGATTGTCCCTTGTGCGACCCACGTCCTGGATCTCCTCATGGAGGATGTGGGGAAGCTTGGGTGGGCGAAAGGGGTGGTGGATCGGGCTGGGGAAATGAGTTCCTTCGTCCGCAACCACCACTGGACGGGGGGGTACTTGCGGACGCCGGAGCTAGTGGAGGGGACCGTGATGCAGGCGTTGAAGCCAGCGGGGACACGCTTCGGGACACAGTATACAACTGTTTCCCGCCTACGTGCCCTTCGTAATTCCCTTACCCAGATGGTGCTCTCCGACCTGTGGAAAGATTGGGCGGTGGGGGATCGAAAGAAAGCAGCGGAGGGGTTTGCCGCGCAGGTACTCGATGCGGCTTGGTGGAAGACCGCCGAGTTCTTCACGAAGCTCATGAAGCTCCCCTTCATCGCGATGCGGCAGACGGATGGGAGCGCAAAGGGGATGATGGGGCGAATGCACGACATAATGCTCCAACTTACCGAGGATGTGGAGGCCCTTGTCGACGCAGATGAGGAGCACTTGTCCAGCACCGACAAGCAGCAGATCCGCCGCATCCTGAAAAAACAGGTGGGACGGGAGTCTTGCATGCGTCATGCACGTGGCGGGACGCATCCTCAACCCCGCCAAGCAAGAGGACATCTTCGGCGGGGATGCGGAATGCACAAGGGTGTTCAAGGCTTTCCTCTCCAAACATGCGGAGTTCCTCAACGTGTGGGAGAAGGAGGGGGGTGATGTGGGTGTACACCCAACCAAACACAAAGTGCACACTACACTAGGATATTAAAGTGCAAGTACAAAATGTGAGATGGATGGCTAACACTAACACCCCCCCATAGACGTCAATCGAGCTAAAGGTGGAGAAGGTGGGGCACACAGCCCCATGGTGCCAAGGAAACGATGATGGGGAACCTTCCCAAGGGGCTTGGTGAATAGATCAGCCAGGTTGCAGTTAGATGCAACGTACTCCACGTTCAACTGTTCACGTTGGACAAGGTCACGAATGAAGAAGTGGCGAAGTTCGATGTGCTTGGTGCGAGTGTGGTACACAGGATCCTGGAAAGGTGGATAGTACTCTTGTTGTCACACCAGAGGGTGGGGGTGGGCTGAGGGTAGCCAAGCTCCTGGAGGAGGAATGTGAGCCAATAGGCCTCTTGAGCCGCCATGGTGCCAGCGTAAAGCTCTGCCTCGCAGGAGGAGAGGGAGACTGCAGATGACCTGGTGGAGCGCCAGCTAACAACTCCACTGCCAAGGGTGAAACAGTAGCCCTAGGAGGAGCGGCGGTCGGTCTGGTCATCAGCCCGAGAGGAGTCAGTGTAGCCTTCCAGACGAGGAGGAGAAAGACCACCAAGTGTGAGGACATGAGACGTGGTGCCCTTCAGATAGCGCAGCACCCGCTTAGCCGCACTCTAGTGGAGTTCGGTGAAGCGTCCAGGAGCCACATAGCGAGAGAGGACACTGACAGGGTATGCCAGGTCAGGCCAGGTGCACATCATGGCATACATGAGGGACCCACCAAGCTCTGGGTATGGCTCGGAGCAGGCCAAGGATCTCAAAGTCTTCTCGTGCGGCTACATCCAGGAGCGTGCGGACTGTGGGTGGTTTGGATGTGGGAGAGAAGGTTTTGAAGAAGTCAAAGTACTGCTTCTGAGTGAATCCCTTGGCCACATAGCGCGCTTTGAACACTGGGGCCTCGTCCGGAAGCTGCTTCACTCGAAACAGCCACTTGCCCCCAACGATGTTAACTCCTAGAGGTGGAGTTTCGTCGTCGAAGGAGTGGTTGCGAGTGAAGGTTTCACACTGAGCTTCCATGGCAGCGCGCCACTCGGCAGCATGGGGACCCGAAAGAGCCTCTTGGACGGTGAGAGGGATAGGGATGGTCAGGTTCTCCGAGAAGTTGAGCGAGGGTGATTCAATGACATCGGGGAAGATGTGCGAGAGCTGAGGAATGACAGTGTGGAGATCACACAGCTCCTCATGCCTGTCTTCCAGAAGAGTAGAGGGCACATTCCCCCCAGCAGGAGGAGTCGGAGTGATCACTGAGCATCGAATGGCAAGTGCCAGTGGAGGAGCAGCCCCATGCGACCGAGTGCCATGAGCCACCGGAGAAGAGGGTGGAGCAGGCGTGGCTGGAGGGGACGGTTTAGGAGGCTTGGGGGGAGGGAGCGGCCGTCGCTGGTACGTGATCAGTTCGCTCGGTTGTGGGAGAGCAGGTTCTTGGGTGGAGGAGGGAATGGGGGGAGGAGGTGGGGCTGGAGGGTTCGACCACCGATGATATGTGATTGGTGCGTTTGGTAGTGAGGGCGCAGTTGGCAAAGTGGTAGAGGGGGGGGATGGAGGAGCAGCTGCCGAGGACAGCGGAGAGGTCGGGTCAGAGACCTAAGACGGAGAAGGTGCGATGGCAGGAGAGGTAGGAGGTGAGGGAGCTGGTGCAGGCGGAAGTTCAAGAGGCGCTTCAAAGTCAGCCCACACAAGAGAGAGTGGTTCGGAGGTGGGGTCCCCCCCCGGGGTGGAGTAGTAGGGGCGAGTCTCATCAAAGACGACATTGCGGCTCCGGACTAGTTGTTGAGTGGAGGGGTTGAGGAAAAGATAGTCGGGGGAGTCAGCGTTATGCCCAAGGTAGATGCACGTTTGATTTTTGGGACCAAGCTTGCCACCTTGCCGTCGCCGAGCCTGGGGGTTCCGGAGGACATAGGCGGTGCACCCCCATACGCAACGAGGGCGAGCAGTGGGTGTTTTCCCGAGCCAGAGCGTGGTGGGGGTGGTGTCGGGGAGATGCGGGTGGGGATACAGATTGTAGAGGAGGGCGGCATGGTAGAGGGCGTATCCCCAGAGCGAGAGCGATGCATGGGAGTGGCTGAGGAGACAGCGATTGATTTGCACCAAGGTGCGATTACGGCTCTCCGCTGTGCCGTTCTGCTGCGGGCTGTTAGGAAGGGTGAAGTCTTGCAGAATGCCGAGGGAGGAGCAGAAGGCTTCAAGTTTGGTGTTGCAAAATTCACCACCACCATCCGAATGGAGGCACTTGACCTTGGTGCCAAAGGTGGTATGTGCCTGGTTAACCCATGCCATGATGGCCTCTGGAGCTTCAGCCTTAGTGTGGAGGAGGTGCACAGAGATGTAGCGAGTGTGGTCATCAACTATCAGAAGGAAATAGCGATGGCCACCTCGTGCGGCAACCGGGGCAGGGCCCCAGACGTCCATGTGCACTAGATCCAATGGGGCTGCTGCTACTGAGGGTGAGGCAGGGTGGGGCTGTTGGCGTAGCTTGCTCTTGGTACAATCAAGGCACGTGGGAGCGGGCGAGTCAGGTGGTGGAGGAAGTGAGGCTGGCAGGCCGAGAAGAAGCTTCTTGGAGGCCATGTCAGCAAGTGTGCGGAAGTTTGGGTGCCCGAGCCGATAGTGGTAGAGGACAGTCAGATTAGAGAAATTGCGACATGAGCATGGTGTGATAGCAGCCTGTGATTGGGTGGTTGACACCTGTGGGATAGGTACACGCAGCGTGCAGAGGCCGCTGCTGTTGAGGGTGAAGCGAGCTAAGACTTTGTTGGTGAGTGGGTCAATGATGTCACAATAGTCCTCGTATTCCGAGATTATGGTGCGGAGCCCAGCCTCCTGAAGTTTCTTTTGGGCCAATAGATTGTGGCGTAGTGAGGGCAGGCACATGCCAGTGACAGTGCCGGATGGGAATGCGGGGCATGGGACAGTGGACGAACCTTTGGCAAAAGTGGTGAAGCTTGAATCAGCTCCCAAGAGAGGAATGGGAGTAGGGTAGGGTTTGAAGGAGAGTGTCTCTTTGAGCACTGTGTGAGTGGCACCACTGTCGAGTGTGAATTCTATGTATTGTGGTGCTTGTGATGAGCCGATGTACTGGGAGCTTGCTTCATTAATCATGGCAGTGCCAGGGAACAGCAAGTTAATACGCACATCAGCAGGAGCACTATCACTAGCCGGTTCAACTAGGTTAGCCTTACGAGGGCGCATCTAGTTCGGCGGCTTCTTGTCGACTCCGTGGATGGCATACCATTTGTCGTCTTTCTTCTTGAAGCACGTAGCGAGGGGGTGGTTGGTGCCACCACACACGTGTCCCTTGCGGTTGCCATACTTGACGACGTAGGTGCACTGGGGGAAGCGGTTGCGCTGGAAGGGTGCCGAGGCGACACTTGCTTGAGGCACGGGAGCACGGAGAGCGTAAGCCTTGGCTTGTGCCGTGGAGTCTTTCTTGGCAGAGAAGAGGGCGGAGGAGACCTTAGAAAAGTGAGGTCTTCCGCCGAGGATGTGAGGAGCATCTTCCTCGTGACTTCGTATGCGGAGGTGAGGCCAACAAGAGGGGCGGCAAGAGGAGCTTGTTCGGGGAAGACGATACACAGCTCCTTGAGCTCACCATGGATGGTTTGCACCTTGGCGATGTAGTCGGACATTCCCGAGCAATCCTCAAGGCGGACTTGGAACATGTTAGGAATGAGGATGGCCACCTCAACCGCCGTCTTGTTCATGAACCTGTCCTGGAGATGCTTCCAAATGGCGTTGGAAGTGGGGTAGTTGTGGAAAGTGTTGACAAGTTCGGGACGGGTGGAGCCGATGAAGACGCTAATGATAGTCGCATCGGCCTTCTCCCACTCGCGGTATTTGGCAACAGAATCCTCGTACTCCTGGGTTGCCACAGCATCGGAGGGATCGGACGGCTCCTTGGGGATGGGGGGTTGTTTCCCCTTGCCATGATTGAGAAGAACGTCTTTGAGGTCAAGTCCACCCACTTCACGACTCAAGAGGTGTTTGTCAACCCCGTAGCTCCATGCCTTGAAGTTTGAGCTAGTGTCGTCGGCTTCAAGGCGGAGCGGGGTGATGGGGTTGGCGAGAGTGGCCGAGGCAAAGGCCATGGCGAAGAACCCTTTATGTCTCGCGCGAAGCGGCGCTCTTAAGTCACCGATAGGAACTTGAGGTTTAGGGTTTCCGAAGAAGAATTTAAAGAACTTGAGGTTTAGGGTTTACGAAAGATAATTTTGAGGTTTAGGGTTTCCAAAGGAGAATTTGAAGGAAACGCAGATTTCAGAACTATCGATTAACTGCTAAGCCTGATCCCCCCCGGCCCTGTCCCTCAGCTTCGCGGCTTCGCTGCTACACGGCTGCTCAGCTGCGCGGCTGCACCTGTTCAGCTGCGGGGCGATAGAAGTGCCGTTGCGGGGCGACGGGCGGCGGCCCGAAGATGACGCTGCAGGGCGACGGGCGGCAGCCCGAAGATGGCGCTGCAGGGCGACGGGCGGCGGCCCGAAGATAACGCTGCAGGGCGACGGGCGGCGGCCCGAAGATGACGCTGCAGGGCGACGGGCGGCGGCCTGACGAGAAGCTGCAGGGCGACGGGCGGCGGCCCGATGAGAAGAATTGGCGGGAACGAGTTTTAGGGTTACAACGCAATTAGTGAAAACGTCGATGATGCGCTTACCAGAGAAATCGCGGAAGTCGTTGAGAGTGTAGGGAGAGTGGCGCGGGAAAGTTTCCGGCCACAAATGTCGCGAATCACCGGCGACGGGATTGATGGCGGTTACGCCGAAGAATGCGGGACAAGAGTCCGTAGAGATAGGAGGATAATGATACGCGTGTTCGTTTGAATTTCTCTGATACCATGTTAGAACTTGAGCTTTAGAATGGATACCTTAGTAATGAGCTCAAGGCTCGTTAAGTACATCGGAAATGGGCAAAGTAAAGATGGGAGGGAATCGGGGGCAATCCTAGGGGATTGGGGGTAATCCCAAGGCAATCTCCACTTGGTGGGTTGGAGATCGCTTGGAGATCACATTTGGGTTTGGTTGGGATGTGGGTGTACACCCAACCAAACACAAAGTGCACACTACACTAGGATATTAAAGTGCAAGTACAAAATGTGAGATTGATGGCTAACACTAACACAGCACACGCTTGAGAGATCAACGGCACACGCCTGAGAGATCAACAGCACACGCCTGAGAGATCAACAGCACACGCCTGAGAGATCAACAGCACACGCCTGAGAGATCATCAGCACACGCCTGAGAGATCAACAGCACACGCCTGAGAGATCAACAGCACACGCCTGAGATATCAACAGCACACGCCTGAGAGATCAACAGCACACGCCTGAGAGATCAACAGCACACGCCTGAGAGATCAACAACACACGCCTGAGAGATCAACAGCACACGCCTGAGAGATCAACAGCACACGCCAGAGAGATCAACAACACACGCCTGAGAGATCAACAGCACACGCCTGAGAGATCAACAGCACACGCCTGAGAGATCAACAGCACACGCCTGAGATTTTTTAAAAGCGACTCAGATTTCTGCCATCAGCAGCTGCTGCTCTGTGCGATTCCAGGTCTAAAAGGATTCTTGAGTCGACTCAAAAATAAAGTTCATGTGTAAAAGGTACACGTTACATTGAGTTAGGCTTTCCCTGAGTTAGCCTTCTCAGAGTTAGGCTGCATAGCACAAGCCAGAGAGAGAACGAGTCTCACTATCTGCTCTCCCCTCACACTATCCGTACCCGTTTGTTTGCCTGTTTTTTTGCCTGGTTTAGCACCTAAATCACCCTATAGTGGCAGCTGCTAGCACTTGTTTTTGCACCTGTTTTTTGCACCTAACACCCTTTTTAGCACCTGTTTTTAGCACTTGTTAGCACCTGTTTTTAGCACTTGTTGTTAGCACCTGTTTTCAGCAGCACCACTAGCTCCTTCTATGGGCACCTATTATTAACACCAATTACTAGCACATTTGGTGTCGATAAACCCCTGTATTTCCCGCTGGTAAAACACCTCTCGCCTCCTGCCGCTCTCCTCCTCCTGTTTTACCCCCCTCCCTTCCCTCCCCTTCTCACCTGTACTACATCCTGTGCGGCTATTGTTTGCAACAGGAATGGTTCTCCCATCATCATTTGCCCGCCACCCGCTCTGCCCGCCACCCGCTCTGCCCGCCACCCGCTTTGCCCGCCACCCGCTTTGCCCGCCACCCACCCACTCTGCCCGCCACCCGCTTTGCCCGCCACCCGCTTTGCCCGCCACCCGCTTTGCCCGCCACCCGCTTTGCCCGCGACCCACTTTGCTACATTCTCCTGTTGTCCCCCCCCTCCCTTCCCCCCTCGCCCACACCCGTACTGCAGATTGTGCTGACATTTTTGCAGCAGGAATGGTTCTTCCATCATCAATAGACCCAGACAGCACCCCCCCACCAAAACCCACCACCATATCCACCCGCAACCGCCCCCTCCCCTCCACCACCACCACAACCCGCACCACCGGTGGTGGCAGCCAAGGCAAGGCAAGGCCAGGCCGTGGTTTGCAGAGCAAGGGACAGATGCCCCTCCACGCCTCCCCCCACGCCTCCCCTCGCACCTCCCCCAACGCCTCCCCTCACACCCTACGGTACCAGCGAGAGGCGGGGAAGTGTTGGAGCCGGGCAGAGCTTCCATGCTATGCGGGTGATGCAGGTTCTGATGAATCAGATTTGTCCGAGAGGCTCCGGATGAAGATGAGGCAGTACCACACGTACCGGCGCGAGTGCCTTCTCAAAGAGCCCAAGGCGACCCTCCAAGCGACCCTCCTCTCCAACAAGCCCACGCTCTGCCGCTACTTAGTCTACTATCACACGCGGGACGGGCAGGGGAACCGGCTCGTGTCTCTCATGTCTGCCTTTGCCTACGCGCTGCTGACGGACCGGATTCTCCTGCTCGCATCGGGTAGCGGCCTGGCTGAAGAATTCTGCGAGCCGTTTGAACACGGGGCGGCGGTTGAGGCTAGTCGAGGGGTGGGTGAGAACGCCGGTGAAGATGCGTCGTGGGTGCTGTTTGATGGGCCGGATAGGGACAAGTATGTGTGGATGCTGCGGTTTAAGGTGGCCAAGGAGTGGAGGAGCGTGCGCGAGGAGGAGGAGAGTGGCTCGATGGTCCCACCCGTGTATGTATGCCCATGTACTATGCTGTGCCATGCCATGCCATGCCATGCCATGCCATGCCGTGCCGTGCCATGCCATACAGTGCCATGCTATACCGTGCCATGCCACACAGTGTAACGTCTGCGTGTGCAACACAACCCTCAGTCCCAGCTTTCCAGCACTCGTTGTCTGACATGTCCTTACTTCCCTCTTTCCCTTCCCTCATCCCCACCCCGCTTCCCCTTACCTGTCTTCCCCTTCCCCCATTCTCTTCCCCCATATCCTTCCCTCTTCCCCATTCCCCTTCGCCTCTCCCTTTCCTTGTCCCTTTTCTTGCTCCCCTCCCCTGCAGCCTACGGGTCGACATCACCCATTTCACCAAACCATCCGGACACCTCTTCTTTTGTGAATCCGAGCAGCAATGGCTCTCCCGCACGCCCACGCTCCTCATCTACTCCAACCAATACCACCTCCCAGCTCTCTACCTCCTCCCCTCCTTCCGCCGCCGCCTGCTCCTTCTCTTCCCCTCCCACCACCCCTTCCGCTCCCTCTCCCGCCTCCTCCTCTTCCCTCGCAACCGGATCTGGGCGCAACTCACCCACCGCTTCCACTCCCTCATCGCCCCCGCCTCTGCCCGCATAGGCCTGCAGGGGCGGTTTCAGAAGCAGGCGTTGGAGAGAGGGATTCCGTGGGAGACCAAGGCTATGGGGCGATGTTTGCTAGACGCACTCAACTCCTCCTCTGTGCACCAGGCACGGGAGGTACAGGTGTCGAACCAGGGTAGTGACAGCGGTGATGGCAGCAGCGACAGTGGTGGTGATGGGTGCAATGCGGTTGGGAACGATCCTCCGAGTGGTGTGACTGAGGTGATGGTAGCGTCTCTTAGTCCTGTACTGGCTCACAACCTCTCGGTGATGGTAGCAGAAAATGTGCCACGAGCACAGGTGACCATGGGTAGCGACACCCCTTGTGCTGCCACTGCAGAACTTGATCTGCCTCCCAAAAATGGTGTAAAAACCCCGGCGGATTCCCACATCCACATTGCTCGACTAACAGTCGACGAGCTCGAAAACAACACCGACACCAGTCTAGTTGATAGGGCCATCCTAGACATCTACACCCTCGCTCTCTTCTCTGACGCTCTTGTCATCTCCCGCAACTCCACCTTTGGGTATGTCAGCGCGTCGCTCTTCGGGGTTCCCTATGTTTCCTTCGTGGGTCCCACGTGTATGCGGGCGGTAACTGAGCCGTGCTTGCACTTCCCACCTAGTAATGACCGGTGCCCAGACGGGGTTCCCCAACAGCTGCAGCTACTGCTGGCTGTAGCGCCTGATGTGCCACTCACGCCTTGTGTAGATAGACCCACCGGGATTGCTGTCCGCCCATTGGAGATGTGATCATCTGAGGGATCAATCTTGTTTTTATTATAATAATTCTTTGTTTTTGACATAGTGGACATGGAAGGCAGAGCATAGGAATTTTAGTAAACGCGTGCTCAGTCAACCTGGGTTTCAGGCAGAGCAGAGCAGAGTCTGCATTGCAAAGCAGGGTGCAAAATAAGCTACTACCGTACAACACAGAAATACCAACATTACAAGGAGCAATCTAGTACTTTGTGTTGTTCAACAAGTCCGTGCGAGGTTCGTCTTCTCTTTTTATGATGGTAACTAGGTTCAGCGCTGAAAATTCAATCCAGCTACCCAAAATCTCGCGCTTCTGTCAGAATGATAGTACAGCGGAATGATTTGACTGGCAAGAATTTGGGTACAAGTGCTAACCCTAGAATGTGCCGTACCACATATGGAGTGCCCCACTATGGCCTAACAAGCACAATTGCAATTTGACACACCCCCATAGGCTAAGTGGGGGACAACAAGAAGGTCACAAGACCAGTTAAGAGAAGAAAACAAAGCAAAGCTCAAGATGGGTCTCAAGATCACCACGCAGTCCGAGCACAAGCAAGCGGCCACAAGGCCAGTTCACATGCATAGTTATAATAGCAATGGCAATACACTGATCACAACCTAGCCAGTGAAAACATCCAGGTATACATATATATAGCAGTATACAACAAAGGCAAAGCTAGATCAAGAGACAAGCAGGTGAGGCAGAGAAGGCTCAAGCCCAAGAGCGGTGCAGAAACGCTGATGATCACCAGACCCGAGGGCCTTGGTGAAGACATCAGCAGTGTTGGCCTGTGAGGCCACGTAAGCAAGACGAAGCTGGCCACGCTACTATAACTCTCGTGCGAGAAAGTAACGAACCGCAATGTACTTCGTTCTGTGCTCGAGCCTCTGCTCCCGACACAAGGCAAACATGGCCTTGCTGTCGACGTACAGAACTGGAGGAGAACGAGGCGGCTCACCCAAGTCTGTAGCAAGTAGGCCAGCCAACGTAAATCCTGTGCAGCCATGGCCCCCGCGTAGATCTCAGCCTCACAACTAGAGCTGAGAACAGAAGACGAGCGGGTGGATTTCCAGGAGACAGAATCAGAGCTGAGACTGAAAGTGTAACCCTGTAACAAACGCTGAGTCTCCTGGTCGTCGGCCCAGGAAGTGTCTGAGTGACCTGTGAGAACAACTCGGCGCCGTCCTCCAAGCACAAGCCTCATACCTGATGTACTGGCCACGTAGCGCAACACCCTCTTAGCAGCTGTCGAGTGCTCCTTCCGGTGTCTACCAGGAGCAACTAAGTGGGCTACAATGCTGAGAGGGTATGCGAGGTCAGGCCGAGTGCACGTCATCGGGTACATGAGGCAACCCACAAGCTCTGGATACGGACCACTCGGCTTTACGGACTCGTCCGAAGGTGGAGCTGAGAGCGAGTGGCCGGTAGGCAGAGGAGTGGGCTGTGGCGAGGGGAACGGAAGGAGGAAGCGCTGAAGGACCTGCTGCACCATGTGCGACCGAGTCAAAGTAATGGTGCGCGCTGCTCTGTCCCGGGTGATCTGTTAGTCAAGATAGTTGCGCAGCTCACCCAGGTCAGTGCAAGAATGTCTCTTCTGTAGCTCCGCCTTCACAAGGACCGGTGCCTCAGTGTCAGCAGTTGCAAAGACCAAGTCGTCGACGTACACGAGGATGTAGAACGGCGACAGAGAAGAGTCGGTACGTAGAAACACCGATGGGTTAGCAGTTGAAGGAGCAAACCCAAGAGCCGCAAGTGTAGTCCTCAGTGTGTCGTGCCACTTGCTGGGCGCCTGGTGGAGACCATAGACTGGCCGCCGAAGGCTCCACTGGGTACCCTCACGAAACGACCCAGTGAAGCCAGGTGGGCGGCGCAGCCAAATCTCCTCGCGAAGGCTGCACTGCAAGAAAGCTGTGCTGAAGTTAAGCGAGTGCAGCTCGTAGTCATGCTATGCTGCGACGTGCAGTAACACCCGAAGAGTGGTCATCTTCATGGTGGGGGAGAAGGTATGGAAGAAGTCGACCCCCTTTCTCTAACTGAAGCCTCGTGCAACGTAACGTGCCTTGAAGGCAGGTGGTGAACCCGGCGGCCGCTTCACCCTGAAAATCCACATGCCATCGACTATGTTCGCCCTAGGAGGGGGAACTGTGTCGACATAGGTGCCTGTGGACTTCCAGGAAGCCATCTCTCCATCCATGACTGTCTTCCACTGAGAGGAGTATTGACCGGAGATCGCCTTGCGTAAGAGCGCGGGGTCGGGATGTCTAGTGCATCCGGGTCTCCCTCAGGGCAAAGCAGCATGGAAGCGAGATGAGGTTCAGCAACCGCAAGGCACTCGAGCTCAAACTGCCTGTCCTGAAGGACGTCACTCCCAAGGGCAAGCTCACCCCCGATGGACGGAGGACAGTCAGACTCAGACTCAGTAACAAGACTCGCGAAGTAGTCAAGACGACAGGTAGCAGCAAAGTCAACAAGCTGTGTGACTAAGGCAGACGTAGCAGTTTACTCAAAGGAAGGGTTAATGACAAGTGTGGCCAGGACACGCATGACAGTAAGACTAGCAGCACGAGCAAGGTCAGACTCAAGGTCAAGAATGTCAGGAAGAGAGGACGCCGGAGGAGACAGCAGGGCAACACGCTGTGGAACAGAGGAAGTACGAAGTGCCATAGTGTGTGTGTAGGGGACTGGTGGAGGACGAACGAGACGAGCATGACGAACAGTGCGAACAGGCGAGGCAGGACGAGACACAGGCTCACGACGCCCTGTCAGGGAGTCCATCTGCTCAGTGTAAGGAGAAGGAGCAGGCAGTGGGGAATAAGGATGTAACTGCGGCTGTGACTGGTCAGGCGGAGGACAAGTTAGAGGTGGAGTAAGGCCAGTGGAAGACAGAAGACTAAGAAACTGACGAAGCGCCGAGTCAGGTGGTGGTAGCAACGATTGCGGCTGAGGCAAGAAAAACAGCCGCTGATGCGTAGTACCCACTGTATCAGAACCTCCAGCTCCAGTACCTCCAGTAACAACACTTCTAGCACCTCCAGCTCTAGGACCTCCAACACCAATACCTCCAGCACCAGCAGCTCCAGCACCAGCGCCTCCAGCACCTCTAGCTCCAGCACCTCCAGCACCAGCACCTCCAGCACCTACAACTCTAGTACCTCCAGTACCTCCAGCACCAACACCTCCAGCACCAGCACCTCCAGCACCTACGGCTCCATTACCTCTAGCACCTCCAGCACCTCCAGCACCAGCACCTCCAGCACCAGCATCTCGAGCACCTCCAGCTCCACCACCTCCAGCACCAGCAGCTCAAGCTCCGCCACCAGAGCGGCCTCGCCGAATAACCCACTCACAAAGCTGTTGTGGCAAGAGAGTCTCCTGCTGCTGCTGCTGCTGTCCACCACCAGAACCTCCAGCAGGAGCACCCACGACTACACCATCACTAGGACGCTCAGCACCCCCAAAACCAGCACCCCCAGATTGAGCACCCCCAGAACCAGCACCTCCAGAGTCAGCACCCCTAGGACCAGCACCCCCAGAGTCCGCACCTCCAGTGTCACCACCCCCAGCACCACCGGAGTCCACAGCGACAGACTGCAGAGGTGGCGAAGACGGCGGAGGCGGAAAACCAGGAGGGGTCTCCAAGCGCGGTGAGCGGCGAGTGGTCGCTGTATTGTCAGCTGTAGGGTCACCCCCCTCAGCTGGGTCAGAGGTGTCAGAGGAGACCTCCAAAGGCTCGACCAAGAGGGGTGGGTCAACCTGAGACACACCTGAAGAAGCAAGACCCTGTGGGGGGATGGGGTCTACCAAGGGAGGACCTGGAAACAAGAAGAGAGGCGGGGGGGGGACAGGGGAAGTGTTGTGGGGGAAGAGACAGTAGAAGCCAACTGACTCATCAAAGGTGACATCCAGGCAGGACAGGACGCGACGCGTGGCTCGGTGGTAAAACTGCCAGCCACGCGCGTTGGTGGGAAAGCCAAGGAAAACGCAGTGAAAGGTGCAAGAAGAGAGCTTGCCTGCTGTGGTATCATGGACAAGGGCAAGCAAGCCCCATACCCAAAAAGCAGGCGCATCGCCAACCTCCCCCGTCCAACGCAGTATAGGCGAGGTCTATGGCATGGAGACACAGGGCTAGAGGTTGAGCTGATGCGCGGCGTATCGGACCGCAAACAGCCACAAAAAGTAGGGAGCAGACGCATGGATCAAGGAGGTGCAAGTAACCTTCATGATCAAGCCAATGCGGCGCTCAGCAATCCCATTCTGCTGTGGAGAGGCCGGAAGTGTGAACAACTGGGTGATGCCCTCCTCACGACAAATGTCCTCAAGGAGGTGGGAGGAAAACTCACCACCTCGGTCAGAGTGCAGTCGCAGGACCTGTAGGTTCTGCTGGAAGCGTGCGCTCAGCTGGCGACGGACAACGCGGATCCAAGGGATCAAGACACTACAGACATCCGCCTTGCTCTGCAAAGGGAGGACTGTGGTGTAGCGCGTATAGCAATCAACAACCAGCACAAAGTAGCGCTCTCGGTCCTATCCACGGACGCGGGTGGGGCCCCACACGTCCATGTGGAGAGTCTGCAGAGGAGCAGTGGTCGGCGGAAACGAGGAGTGAGGAGTGGCGCGCTGCCGCTCCTCGACGCTGGGAAGGCACGGCGGTGCTAGCGACCAAGGGAGCGGGGGCAAGGACTTGGGGAGGCCAGAGACAACGAGACGGGAGTGCATGCTACGCAGACGCGGCAGGGTGGGGTGACCCAGACGGTGGTGCCAGAGTAGAGATGCGTACGTGAGTGACCGACACGAGCAAGACACAACTACCTGACCGGACGCAGCTACCTGTCTAGACTCAGTGGTCAGTGTGTACAGGCCAGACCCGGGTCTCCAAGTGAATGTGGCAAGGTGGGCGCCAGTCCGTGAGTCCGTACATGTCGCCAAAAGCTCACCCCAGGAGTAGTGGTAGTGACCACTTGGACCTAGAGGATAGTATTAGTCACCAAGT